GCTCTAGTGGCGATCGAGTTGACAGGGTGGGTACACTTTTCTTTTTAACATTTTCCAAATTATTTACTTTTTGCTATTGATATTGATTTCTCACATGATCACTCAACTAATAGTTATCTAAAGTCATTTTCTTAGTTGAAGAAAACTAGAAACAAGAAAAGAGATGACTTATTGAGTTGATGCCTCTGATTTAATTTAGTTTGATTAGTCACGAAACTCAAGAAATAAAGAGAATTTTTTTAATTTTGTGATCCTACATTAAAATTAAGATGTGTAGTACTTTTAAGTCTTATGGTTTTAAATAATGTTGTGATTGGAAAGCGTACTAAATATAGAAAGAGACATTTTTTGGGGGACGGGCCTAAAATAATAGTAAGACGCATAGAGGAGTACTATTAGTTAAGTGATCATTTGAGAAATCAATCTTAATAAATAAGAGATGAGAAAATTAGAAGACAAGTCAAGTAACATAGTACAATAGGATAAAATTCATCTTTACTTTATGAGTGTATACAAGTTAAATCCAATTCTAGTTTTACTTCATTGTGTCTACTTAGTAACTTTCAACAAGAGAAAAATGGGATGAATGTCACATGAGATTTTGAGTTGAGAGTAGTTGGTGAAAAGGGTAAGTGGTAAACGGAAGATATCGTAAACTGCTGCTTAACCATTTGTTTATATTTATTCCAAAGTGGAGCTAAATTTTCATGAATGGAGGTAGATCAACTGCAAATGAGATAGGATTCTGTTTGTAGGAGTAGATGTTATCTTTCAATCATTTGGATGTTTTGCTAGTTATCCAGAAACTAAGGTATTGTAAAGGTTTAGTGTTGCTATACCGTTATACATACATGCTTCATTTCAAGAGATATGTTAGTTTCAGAATGCTTTGCATTTTTGTGCTGAAGTATTTACTGACTCTAAGGATGCATAGGAGGAAGGATTACAGCTAGTCTAAGAGCCGAAAGAGCTCAACTGACTTAGTTTTAGAGGGCGACTGAAAAGGAGGCTCGACCCACAGGGAGAGCAAAATCTGGTGTGATTCATTTTGCCATGGAATTGGAATATTAGTGGACAAATGGGTAATTTGTCCCTGGGGAACCTTACATGGTAGGTCCACGGTATAGCTAACATGTAAGAGAGAGATTGGCCAGGACTAAGAATGAAGCTGAATTGAATATGAGATCTTTAGGACTTTTTCTCTGAGGTTATGCCGTGCGTGATGAAAGAGTTTATGTATCTGTACTTTGAGGCGTGGATTTTGACCTTCAATTTTACAAGTCTATGACTGTTTTAGATCATTTCTGGTGCAAATATAGATACAGCAGAGGATCAATGATGAGTCCTTGCTTCTATAATTACAGATATGGCATTCAATTCCAGATTTCTAACCTCTAGTTTTTCCGTCAAACTTGATTGGTGAAAGCTTACGCTGAGCATCTGTGTTTACACAATGTGTAGATAACAAGACCTCAAAACATAAAAGCTGATTTGTGGATTAGACATTACTGGAAATTCGTTACCTTTTGAGTGACCTATGCAGGCTTGGCCTCGTTCTTTCATTCCGATGTGATGGAGCTAAATTTTTCCCTATCCATGTGTCAGATTATTCATTATATAAATGTCAATTGTGTTTTAAAGCATCATACTCTTAACGCATACATTATGTTTTCATGCAGTACTACTATGAGCCTGGGACTGGGCAAAAGTTCAGATCATTGAGAGATGTCGAGCGACGATTGAACGGTGAAATATTTGCTCCTAGAATCAGGACATCGGGAGTGAGAAACTATCCTAAGGCAAGTTTAAGAATTGAATATTTCACAAAAATTTAGTACTTTCGCTAGTTTGATGATGCCTGAGTATGAAACTCCTCTCTTTTTTTTTTTTACTTGGTGTTTTTTTCTGTTCTGGTCATCCACGGAGTATTCGTCCTTCACAGAGTTCTCTATCTCGGAAGATGGTCATCTACGATGGGAAGGTACGGATTTGACTGCACTTTGGCCCTCAGATCTTTTATTTAACTACTTCTTGTGGATGTTATGTGTTGAATCATTATTATAGTAATATATTTTCGATAAACTTTATTTACAATTTTTTTCTTGTGTTTTTTTATCTTGGGTTCGGGATGGGGGAAGCTGAAAGGAAGAGGGTCATATTGTTGCTCTGCTTCTCTCCCTTGTTCTTGTAATTGAAAATTGAAATTTGTCAAAAAGCAATGGACTTGGTTTTTCAGAAGAAAACGAGTTATGATAATTCGTGTGGGAAACTACTAGTCATTTAACCTACTAAAAAGTAACTCTGAAAAATATAGTCCGAATTTCCGGTCTAATGTTGGTTAGTAAGATTCTGAATCTTCTCATAGTAATTGCAACAGCAATCTCAAGCTTTTAGTGTAGTGAAAGGCCTTGGGAACTTTGAAATCTATGTGCGAAATACTACTTTTTCACTGTTGTCGTTGTTTTCTTACGATTTTAAAACAAAAACTTCATTTGAGAATCATTAAGAGGGAATGCAAAGCCTTAATTCTGCTGCTTACTCGGAAATGTTATATAAATGAATCAAGGTTGTTGTATTCCTTGACAGAAAGTTAGACAACAAACATGTTCATCTTACATTGATAGGCTTTGTCAGTAAAGGCTGGGATTTTAAAAACTTCAATCATCACATGATGGTGCCTTTAGGCAAGGTGAAAGATGTATTCTGAATCAAATAGGAAACCTGATAGTTGACATTGATAAAATTTCAGATCGTTAGAATGGATGAAGAGCAGTTGAATGAATGGGCTATTGTGCCGTCAACAAGAGCAGCCACCTTACCCTATGATCTTCCTGATGGTTGGGTGATAGAAGAGGTACCACGTACAGACGGAAGCATGGTGGATAAGGTACACTCTCCTGTCCTTCAATAGTGAAGTCGTTTTTATCTACCTTGCTATCAGCTGCTGTTATGTTTGCTCAAATTGGCCCAATCATTGATATGTGCTTCATTTTGCACGTTTTTGCTGAGAGCCATTTGAGCATGCTTTTGCTTTTTTACGAAATTATTCTAGGGAAATTATCATGGAATTACTAGCTGTGACAGGCATTAGGTGTATTACTGAATTACCTTGCTGATCTAGTATAATTGACATTGGAGGACCAGGCGTGGGGTGCACCATGACCCAAGCGTTATCAGTTGACACCACTTCATCGAAATGTTTTACTAAATATTTATGTATTGATGATAAGCAAAATGAAAATATGGTGTATAAAATAGAAAAATGACACTGCATGTCAATATAGTAATTAATTTATTTGTTCACTTTTTAAATGTTCACACCGGTTATGAAATATTCTGTGTACGCCACTGTGGACAACTAGATTAGAATTAACAACACTGCTGGATGTCTAAGTGAATTATTAGTTTATAGGACTGACTAATCTATCGCATGTGGGCACAACATCACAGTTCCAACCTTTAAAACCCTGACAGATGTGCTAAGACCTTCTCCATACCGTGTGAAAGGACCACACAGTACAACGTCTCAAAAATAGTCATACGGTAATGTCACATACAAGCATATTAATGCAGTTATTTATCATCAAGTTCTGTCTTTCTTGCCGAGGGTCGATCCGAAACAACCTCTATACCTCTAAGGTAAGGTCTGTGTACACTCTACCCTCTCCAAACCCCACTTTGTGAGACTACACGGGGTATGTTGTTGTTCTGTCTGAGTTAATGAAGTTTCATCTATTAACATGTTGTTCTTGTCCGTTTCGGGATATTATGACAAAGACTACTCCGTTTCTCCTCTTCCTTCTTTGTTTTGGAAAGTGCCTATCTGATGAAATTGTGTACTGGTTTTTTGTCCTCGTGTGCAGTATTACTATGAACCAGGTACTGGACAAAAATTTAGATCCAGGATAGCAGCACAAAGATACTTGGCGCAAATGAGAGAAAACGTTCCTTTGTCTGCTACTCTAGAAGAATTGAAAGAGAATAAACCACTGTCCAAGATGTTTAAGTTGTACCATCATGCAAAGGTGAGCTAATATCGTGAAGGGCAATATAAGCATGGCATTTATCTTCTTTTGATGTCAAGAATATGTCTCCTTATTTGCCTTTGTAGAAATCTCTTCCATGTAAGGGGAACATCGTTACAGAGAATTCGGACAAATCATCGTTTCTTTCTCCACCAGCAAAAGTAAATTGGGTTCTTTCTAGTCCTAAAGGGGATGCTTGGAATCCTTTCATTGCTGGAACACCAATTCCTGATTCAGTAAAACAACAATGGACTAAAAGATTCATGTTGTTCATGAATGGCGAGAACCTGAATGCAGAAAACTCGGACTAGAAAGGTAAGCGAAAGCACTAAAGCTTCCACTCTCCTATACTCCCTTTCATATACTATATATATTTTCTCTGGAGGTAACGTTCCCAACAAACATGTGGAAGCACACCTGAACACTGCTCTCTGCATTTGTTTTCTTATCCTCCTTGCAGGCACCAATTGGAGAGTCCAAAAAGAATGCAGTTGGAAACAGTTGTTTACGCTTCAAGAAAGCTCGGACTGCTTCTGACCTAAGAGAATTGCATGCTAAATCTTGTAGATACTAACATTATGCAACTCCTTTATCACTTTGCTGTTTAACCACTGTAGAGAATCTGTTGTCGTGTTAATTCTGTGTTTGTTCATGTTCTAAATGTGTTGTATAACAATTCGACAACTTTTTTCTTATGGTACATGTTTAAGTAAGGATGTACAATTAAAGTTTGCAGGTTCAGTCAAAGACAGTATAACAGCATTTAGTATCCTGGTAAAAAACTTGCTCAAAAAAGAATTTTGCGTGCTCTCAAAACGCCTGCACACCTTTTAGTATTCTCTCTTCGGTCCTACAAATTGAGCTTCCTAAAGGGGTGTTTTCTGGATTCGATTCAAAGAGACAGAACACTTCAATTTTGAGTTCAGCCAACGATTGGCACAACTCAAAGTTGCTAATTGTGAAAGTTACCAAGAATTTGGATAGCAAAACACTGTATGCTTAAATAAGGAAACTATCCACCCATAATGTCTTATTTCCTACAAGTTATATCTCAAAGTCTACTCTAATCAAACTTATAAAACAAAACATAAAAATCAAATGCCTACAGATCTTTGAAAATACTCTTTATCTGCCATCAAATAGATAGCTTATGCTATTCACTCACCAAGAAGCATTCACATCATTTAAGAATGTCATCTTCCAGTTAAGTGGAGGGACAGATTGTCCCTCAAAACTGAAGCAGACTTGTCGACAGATTCACAGACCTCTTGCCCGTATCCCGGGTCATGGTGATGAGATGATAGAGGCAACTCATCCAAGACATCATCGTCCATGTCAATAACAATGTTGTGAAGAATGCAGCATACAAGGATAAACCTTGGTAGCTTGTGCTTGTCAGGTCTCCACATCATTCCATGAATCATTTTCCAGACTTCTTTCAGCCTAGCTAAGGCCCTCTGTGCCACGATACGAGTTGCTAAATGCCTCTTATTGAACTCAGCTTTAGATTCTGAAAGTTCTTTGCCTTGATAAGGAGTTAAAAGCCAAGGTAGCAAGGCATAACCAGAATCACCAACTATATATTCCCGTAGTTCTGTTTCTTCAGATAGCTTCATCTTGTTTCCATTCAACCTCTCTCCTTTCTCGCAGAGTTTAAATAAGGTTGAGCTCTGAAGCACTGAATTCTCGTTCAGCTTTCCTGGCAATCCTGTGACAACATCACGGAACCTCATATCAGGGTCAACAACTGCTTGCAGGACCATGCTGTGGTTCTTATTTTGATCGAGCCATACGTCAGCTGTCTGCTCGGAGGAAGATAACATCATTGTGATGTGTGTAGCATCAATTGCACCACAACAGTTTGGAAGTCCTTGAATTCTTTCAAACTTGGACTTTATCTCTGTCATATCCTCCTCTGTTGAAGGCCACCGTATGTGGTGAAGCCCCTTTTCCTCAATAGCCTCTATAAAGCGCCAAGTTACTTGAGACACTGTTGAGTGGTGTGCACCAAACGAGTCGCCCACTGAAATTAGAGAATTACCTGAGCTCAGCCTCCTCATAGCTAACGCTACTTGCTCATGCAAAGACATGGGCTTGCCACTTGAAAACACATAGTGGGCTGATTTTGCCTGCATGTGCACCTCTGCAAGGGAACATATGTAGTCGAAAGTTCTTCTAGACATCTTGAAAACAGATTGAAACTCATCCAAACCCTTTGACGGAGAAACATTTCCTGCAGAAAAAAGATAATTTATCAACTACAGCAATCAAATTTCAAGCTGCAAGACCATACAGTTCACTTGCAATCAATCACAATCATGAAACAAGAGTCACAATACTTGAACAGGATGTCAATTTAACTCCGCCAAATATGTACTTAAAGCAATTTATGACTCAGTGGAACGAGCAGCCAATGGACCTTGCTACTAATCGTATTTTCTGTTATTATAACTGCCATACAAATATATACCTGAAAAAGAATTTAAAAAGTGAAAATCACATAGTTGAGTACTTGTAACAGCAACATGTTCAAATTAAGCAACATTGCACAGTAAATCGTATGACTTCAGGTGGTTTGGCTGAATAGGCTGGTGGTTATAAGGGATCACTTGGTAGGATGTATTAGAAAATCAAATACATGTATTAGTTATGACGTTATTAATCTTTTGTTTGGTATGATTTTCAGTCTACGTATAACTAATACACACCCTATTCAGTATTTTAGGGTGTATATTACTAATGCATAGAAAATCATGGTATTAGTAATACAAGGGCTATTAATACATGGATAAGCATGGTTAAAGACAAAAATGCCCTTAATACACCAAATCAAATAATGGATTAGAAAAACTCCAGAATTAGTAATACACTCTATTTCAGTACTATTCTTATACACTCTACCAAACGACCACTAGTTTGAAACTATAATACTTTCACTGCTTGACACAAATTAATTAATAAAATTAGTTCTTCTTGTATAAGGGATCAAGAAAGTTTGATTCTTACTAGTAATCCCTTGAAATATAGCAAACAGGCTTCGGAAAGCTCTTCAAGTTCTTCGGTACGATTTAGTTAGGCCAGTAAAAAGGGTAGATTCCTAAAGCTTCCATTATGGATCAAACTGTTAATCATTTATCAAGGGAATCACAAAATCGATCAACAGATCCACTTCATATGGATATTTTCTGTGAACTTGGATATTTTCGTGCTCTTGTTCATGAATGTGTTCCACAAGAAACATACATATTATGTTTCTTCTTGACGTAGAAAAAGCAAAGTATTCAACAAGGTACAGTCGAAATTATAGGCCAATGCCATTTCCCACATTAGTTAATAGACGTTCTCTGAACGGAAGCTAGTTCTTCAGAACTTCATAACTAATTTAAATGAACAGGGGATTTCTACCTCTACCTTGTTTTGATATATTCGAGCGAAGCAACATATGAAAAACCAAGACAATAAAAGAACACCAATTATCAAGGAACAATAAATACTATTCTCTTGATCATTTTTTTTGAACTTCTGTTTTCTTTTGCTTTCCAACTCTCTCTGTGACTAGGAACACCTTTTTTGTAAGTAGTTCTTTTTCTTTGATTTTTAACTTAAGGAACAGAGAACCATTTATCGCTTAACACTGGAAAAGAGCAAAACAGAATACTATTCAAGATATTGCGACTTTCGTATTTCTTGATTAGATTAATTGTTTAATTAAGAACCAATATAAAAAATATATCTCCTTTCACTGTATAAATTAAACCCTCCATCCTACTCACCTCTACTGATAGTATGGAAAACAAGGGGTTTTCACAAAGTCTATTACTTTGCCGCAAGTCTATCACCTCCTACACTGTTAGGTTTCTAATTTGAGCTTCATATTTGTACTTCTCATGTAGTTTAGAACAAAATATAATTGTTTTCTTTGCTGTCAAATATGGGACACCATCTTATGGCAGTTCAAGCGACAAAATAACCAAATAGTATGACTAATTGTGCCCTCAAGCATAAGAGAGGCACCAATGGCCATGCAGAAGAAATACACAAAAACAAGCAAACGCCCTTCATAAATAGTGATACTGTAATAGTATTTTTCCAAAAGAATTACTCCCTTTGTCCCAATTTAAGTGTCTTACTTTCCTTTTTGGTTTGTCCTAAAAAGTGCACCTCTTTCTATATGTAGTATGTTTTCCAATTCCAGCATTCTAAATTGCAAGTTTAAGACCACAAGATTAAAAGGACTACACACATCTTTCATTTATTAAGACCACAAGATTCAAAAGTTTCCCTTTATTTCTTAAACTCCGTACCTAGTCAAACAAAGACACTTAAATTGGGATGGAGTGAGTATTTAGTAGCATATTCATGGGGTTCGAAGACCTCCAAGATTCTGTTGATTACTTGTAAATGTAATAGTTACTGGCATTACTCGTACATATACATATTTTTACACACACATATGTTTGTTTATAAATTTGGAGAGCTTCTAAACCCAACACAAAGGTTCGTAATCATTTTTAGAAAAAAAAAACTATTGCTATTATCTTTTATGGATAAAGATGGGCTCCTTATGTATGTGAGTGGTGCACCGGTGCAGGTATGAAGAAAGGACCTAGGAAACCTAAGGCATACTTTACTGCTCACCAGTGATCCTATGGAGTAGATGAAGGGTGTGTTTGGTATCTTGGAAAATGTTTTTCAAAAAAACAAGTGGGTTTCTTACCTATTTTCTTGTGTTCGGTACATAAGTAGAAAATATTATCCTAAAAATATTTGTATATAATCTACAAAATACCATGGAAAGTGGAAGTGGGGTAGGGGGTGGAGTGGTGGGGATGGGGGCTATGGGGTGGGGATGAAGATGAAGTGTACTGTTGGAGGGTGGGGAAGACACAATCAAATATTGTCACTTGTCGAACTTGTTTCCCTACTTCCTTTAGAGAAGTCATTTTCCTCATTTTTAAGAAACTTGTTTTCCTAGAAAAAATATTTTCCAATTTTTTTGACCAAAACATTTTCTGGACCATACCGAACACACCCGAAGAAGATATTATCAGAAATCAATGCTACCAAAAACACAGTGATATTGATTCTCTGTCAACTTTTTGCACCAAGTAACTTGTGGTATATCAACAATTACTTATGCCACTAGACTTGAAATAGACAAAGATATACTTGCTGAAAGAGCTAAGAGGCATTTCCAAATTGGTCTTTTCCTCTAATTCTTGCCCATTCAAAGAAACTAAGCTAGAATATGTTATTGTCTACCCCTAACTGAACATCTCATTTACAGATTCAACAGCTTTATAACTCTAAATCTACTTGAATATCATCATTAATCCATGTGGAAAGCAAAGACATAAGCACCATAGTAGATTCTAGTAATATCTTTATATGATAACCTTTATACGAAGAGTGACAGCAGAAAAAATGGCATTTACTGCAGCAAATCCTTAATATCATCTATTGCCTGGTAAAATAATTTGCATATATATGCTTCAGCTACATCTCCACAGTAAGAACGAGTAGAGAAACCTCTGTGGGCACTGGCCTTTGCTTGGGAAAATCCATTAATTCTCCTCTTAATCACCATTCACAGCTTAGTACAGAAAATGCCTCATAAATTTCATACTTCACAACTATGTTGCTCGGGACTCTCCTAAAATGCAGCCGCGCCTGTGTTCCTCCGACACGCACCCAGTGGCATTTTTGAAGAGTCCAAGCAACATAGCTTTCCAAAACTATCAACTATTAATTGATCTTTAGAGAAGTCATATATGCTCAACATTCGTGGCAAGGACCAATTTTTGAAAAGCTAAATGTAAACTGATCTACCACAGTTAGTTGTTTTTATGCAAGTACTTCTAGAGTACAAAATCATCAAGTATGAGGAGCTTAAACTAACTAAAAATTATCCTCACAGTACATAATGGTAGGAGCTAGAACATTTGTGGAATCAACTTATAAATCTATCTGAGTTCCATTCTCATTTCACGAAAAACTCCACCGATTCTAACTCGTTCAAAATTTGAAACATCCAGGCCTAATGGCTTCACCGAAAACTGTTTTATGTGCAAGGCATTCACAAGTACCATTTCTTCAACAACTGAGAGGAACAAAACTAGCCTAACAAGAGGACCACCACGCTAATCCACTGAAAGTGAGAAAAGTAATATCATTCTCTAAAGACAGGAATACTTGAACCATTTAATCTGCTCGGTTAACTGACAGACTGCATCTTAGTTCAAAGTAAGAAACTGATGGCAAACAAAGAATGTTCTTAACTTTCATTTTCTCAGCTTATTTATCATTATGTTGAACTTTTGGACAACCTTGCCAGACTTGAATAGCCTTTGGTCTGAGTACTTCAGCAAAATGTGTCCCTTAGATACATCCTTAATCGAATTTGATATATCCTAACCCAATCTCTTGACCAAGCCAGGTTCACTGAATTCTTGGCTTCAATGTAGAATGGAAACTTAAAATCCATGTGACAACTTACAAAGTAGATGCCAAACTAGAAACTGCTAAAAGGGAATGAATAAGAACTTTTGGCCATACTTTAACATTTTTTCTTCAAAAAAATGAGAAAACAATTTCCTCTTACAGCCTTTAACACAAAACATGATTTTCAACCAGCATGGGGAAGAACCAGAGAAGTAGACACATTTACAAGAATATACTAGCCAAGATAGGATGTTAAAGAGAAAGACAATGATATTTTGGTCATCAATTATCACCAATTATCAGTAGATGTTAGCCAAAGATGACAGATGCAAAATTTACGGGCAGATGAATCTCTCATCAAGATCTCAAGCCAGCTAAATATTGTAAATGGTTCTCTAAGGGAAGACAGATGAAGTAAAGATGAGAAGATTGCTTATAATTTGGACGAGGCAACAAAAAGCTGTTTTCCTTTGTAGCATTACGGGGATGGAAAGGTAAGGAGTCAAGAAGCTTCTTTGGAAGTATTCGTGCACGTGGAACTTGGCCAATAGGTGGAAAACCACAGGTAGGCTTCCTGAAGGTATAGACAGAAATTGCATGTCAGTAACTGCTCAAGCAGATAGAAATTCTAGCAGCCACTCACGCATAGAGACAAAACACTGGCAAATTTAATTTTTGGCTCTACAAGAAAAATTGTTGGACAGGTGGTTCAATTTAACTATTTAAGGCTAGTTCGTACATGGCGTAGTTCCAGATTACTATAGATTGGAGGTTGCGGAGGGAACAGATTAGGCTAGGAGGTTAGTAGGTACTAGTGAGTTGTCTTGTTATCCATCCATACCAGTAGTCGTAGTACTGCTCCTGTAGTGTCTTGTCCTTCGATTTCTGCTACTATCTATTGTTTTTTCTTTTACTTCAATAATCATATTATTTTGTTGTACTTGTTCATAATGCTTTATTATGCTTTCACTTCTGTTTATTCTTTTCTGGACTGTTTTTCCTTGAAACAGCGCCTCTACCTATGCGGTAGGGGTCCCCAAACTCTACTTTGTGGGACTACACTGATATGTTGTTGTTGTTGTCAAATACTGATCCTCACTGTCTAGGCTAACAACTTGGATAACTTAAAATAACCTAAAAGATTTTCTCTTTTTTTTTTTGTTGGCAACTTGTTTCTAATTCTCAAAACCTCTTAAGTATCTTCTCCAGCTTTTCACAGTACTTTCAGCTCTAGACTAAAAGAAACAACATATCAACCAAAAGAAAAAAATTAACTTTAGCTGTAAATCAGCAGCCCTAGGTTATCACAGTATCCTACTTCCATCATTACCAAAAAAGGGACTATCTTGAAAGCGAAGAACCAGCAATTCATAGTTGATATGCAAAACATGTTAGCATTTCCCACCTGTACTCACATGGTAAAAGCAAAAGGATCCTGAGTAAAAGTTGTATGGTAAAGCATACCATTGAAACAAAGCAACCTTCATTGAAAAAAGAACGACACAGCGTATAATATGAATTTAAACAAAACTCTCCTCTCTAACTTGGAATTTGAAGCAATGTGCATCCTACCTGCACTTGCACAGTGCTCACATTGTTGATTAAACACATGAAGATCTTCAAATGCTATTTTTAATAGAAACGGAAAAAAATAAATCATTATATTCCTCTACAGTCCTATCAAAGAACACATTGTCAGGTCTAAGCACATCTCAAATGGCACTCTATCTTAAGTCTATCTCAAACAAGTACACTGCATATACTCCTAATCCATACTACCTTAATCAGAAAAAGAAGGAACTTCCAGCGAAAAATAGGAAAATCAAGAGGCCAACACCAGTAAGAACTTATACTCCAGACCTTGTAAAACCATCAAACACATTTCCAAATCCGAGTCATTATTGTTACAAGTGCATAATAATTTAGCCAATTCTGCCTTTTTTTTTCCTCTTACACATTTGGTAACTTAATGAATCAGTGATTTAGGTCAACCATAGCATTCGAAACTCGTAAACAAATGCAAATTAGGGATCTTTAGTTCAAAATTCACAGCACATTGATAGAACAGAAACATGTAACATCAATTAGAGGTAACAAAAAACACTAACTTAACCATCCACCAATCGAAATTCCTACAAGGAATGATAGGAAATGATCAAAGGGGAATTTAAAACCAGTATTCAATACTTCAAAAAACAAACATATTTATTTAACACAAACATGAGAAAAGATAATAATTTTACCGGCAATTCTTTTAGATAACATCTCCCACCAATCAGCAGAACCATTCTCTGAAGACCCAGAAGCTAAAGAATCCTTTTCAACTTTCTTCTCTACCTTCCTCTTCTTTTTATGCCCTCTAACAGGACCCATCACTCAATTGAATCAAAACCCACTTGCTTCAAATAACCAAAATCACAACAACTCCATTGAAATTCAAACATAACACAAACCCCATTTCTTGAAACAAAACAAAAAAAAGATCACAATCATATTCAAGATTAAGAAACATGCAAAGCTACATATACAATAAAAACAAATAAAATTCACTCACCCCATTTTTTGATGCCATTGTTGTGTGCTTTTGTTGAGTGGTATTCTTGAAATGTTTCAAAGCATGCAAAGTGCATAAGAAAGTGTTTATGGTGTGGGTTTTGGCATAAAAAGAGTATAGACACTATAGAACAAGAAAAGATAGGAAAAATGCTTTAGGAGAAATTAATGTAACAACAAAAGAGAGAGTATTTGGTTTAGTTGTTTCCTTAAAAAGACAATGTGACAGACATGAAAATCGGTGGAAACTGTCTTTACAATGGTCAATACTCATAGATTTCAGAGAGAAAAAAAAAAAAGACAGAGGGAGAAACTTTAGCGTAAATTGGATTCGAAGGAGAAAAAAAAGGGCTAAAGGTTTAAGTCAAGTTGTCGATATTACCAATTTGTAACAATTCTTTGCTAGATCCATAATCTAGATTAAGGGGTAATTTAGAGAGAAATGCTATTGTAGATTTTATTTGGTATATTACATAAAAACGTATTTTTTTAAAATTTAACCTCACTCACTCTATATTTATGTCTTTTAATTAAACTATCATAAAGTTGAAAAGTAGACACACGTGTCCTACATAACAAAACATGACAACGTGATTTTCCATTTAGGGCACGTGCATCTCGCGCGAGTTATCAGGTAGGACGTATGTGTCTACTTGTTCAACTTTGTAACATTTTAAATGTTTATTTGTGTATTCAAAGTTGAATGATAGTTGAGGTGAAATTAAATGATATTATGTCTTTTCATTTTAGTTTCCCATTTATTTTTTTGTTGAAATATAAATGAATAAAAAATATTTATATAATTTAATAGGTATTAGAATCAGAATCAATTAGAGGTGTGAGTCACCATTAATATTGACTCATATATCGTCAAATAATGCTCAAGATTTTCTTTATTTAATCCCTTTTTTTCTTCTTGTTGGTTGATATTTCGTACATGTTCAAATACCAATATCACAAATCAATAAAATGTTTTTATATGATTGACTTGGGGAAAAAGAATTTGTTTGTGATGAGGGAATATGGGATACTAAAATAAATAAATTTCTTAGCTTGAGATTGTAAAATGTGACGATTCACATAATTTAAATGGTTTTCAAATATCATAAAATTTGGTTTTTAGAGGGTATTAGGTTAAGAAGCATATTTGAGATTGTATACTAATAGTTGTATACTAGAATGTTAAAAGTATTTTGCACATGAATTGATGACTCTTTTTTTTTTAAGTAATGAAGAAGAGGACAAACACGTGTCACTAAAAGACTTTACTAAAATAAGAATGCATTATCAAGAACGTAGAAAAGTAGAATTGGCAATTGATCAAATCATAGTACAAATCATGACAATAGTTAAAATCGACGATTATCTCACAATTTCCTCATGTGAGATTTGTTGGACAGAGGATCAGGTTAACTCTAAAATAGGGATATTTTGAGCATTCTATTAATTATAAACCACTATTATAATAGAATAACTTGTATGCTCAAAAAAAGTTGGATCTCTCAAATTAAATTTATCAAAAAGAACATTTTTAGTGGATTTATGGCTAGGGTTGATGGTGAACTAACTTGTTTTGGGTAAAACATATTAGTAATATGATAATATTCTACTTGTATCTACCCATATGACCTGCTATCAAAAAAAGAATTGTAATATGATTGGCTCGGGGAAAAAAGAACTTGACCATGACGAAGGGACATATTAGATATGAAAATAAATTATAAACGTTTTAACTTAAAATAGTATAATGAAACAATTCATATTCAAACGATTTTCAAGTATTACAATTTTTTGCTTTAGAGATTATTAGGCCAAGAGATATATTTGAGATTGTATATTAGTAATTGTAGATTAGTACATATGTTAAAATATCTTGTACATGAAGCGATGACTCACTTTTTTAAGTAATGAAAAAGAGGACAAATATGTGGCACTGAAATACTCTACTAAGACAAAGATGCACCATCAAAAGCATAGAAGAAGTAGAATGAATAGTGGATCAAATTCTAATACAAATCGTATTTGATAATAAGTTGATAGTTCTTTTATAATTTCTTCATCTAAGATTTGTTTGGAAAATGATCATATTGACTCCGTGATAAAATATTTTAAGCATTCTTTTGATTATATATATATATATATATATGTTTCAATAGAAATACTTATATGCTAAGAAAACTTCTAGATATATCTAGATAAATGCATTAAAGAACAAATTTTAGTAGATGACTTAAATTGTTCGGGTTGGTGGTAAAGTTGTTTTGGGAAAAAACATATTAATAATATGACCAGTAGTACCTAATTGGTTGTATATATACATGTGACTTAACTTGTTATTATAAATATAAAAAAGAATTGCGATATTAGTCAACCTTAGACTCCTCATTATTGAATCTATTCATCTATGAAAAGTAAGAAAGTTTCCATACTAGTCAATTCAACATGGAAAATAGGGTTGAACTTTTTTTCTCCAATGTCTAATTCTGAATTAAAGCTCGAATAATTTGAATTTATCGTGTAGAATAATATTATTTTAAGGGAATAAAATTTTCTCTACTAAAGATAACCTCATTTTCAGGGATTAAATCAGAGATATTTGGAATACTTACCATCCCACCAAATATATAAAATTGCGATAAGACATAGAAACACATTTACTATAATAAATTACTAATTACACTTAAATTTTACGGGAGACCTAGCACCACTTCCACCCCAAACTTTTTTGTTTGTATATTTACCCTCACATGACCTTACTTTCTCGTATTAAATATTTTATTTTATTTTACCCTTTTAGACTCAAATTAACTGGACCTCATCATCTTTCTCAAGTCTCAACATTTTATGGGCGATTGAATTGACACTTTATTATTTGTAGTATATACTTTAATATAATATAAAAATTTTATCCTTTTATAGTTAAAATATTATTTGCATCTAATACAAATAAAACGCATGAACTTATTTTATTTGTTTTAATATGTTCCATGCAAAATGTTTAGGCTTAACTTTATTCCTTATGTTGAATCATTGATTAGCTAGTTTAAAGAAATGTTGGAAATGAAAAGAAAAAAAGGTAAATAATACTAAAGAAATAAGTTCGAGGTAAATAGTATAGGAAAAAATGTTTGAAAATATATAATAGAAGAACTATATATGTAAAAATGAAGGACCAGTGAATATTATAGTATTGACTTATTATAACCAACTAATTTCATATTATTATTAATTCAAGTGGCAGATTCAAAAAAAAAAAAAAAAAGTCTTAGTTTGGTCAAACTTTGAAAGGTTTAAACTTAAAAAGCCTTTATTCTTTTAAAGAAATATTTATTTTAGCAAATGGATGTGTTTTGACTAAAATTTTGGTGAAACTAATAAGTACTTAGAAGTAGTAGTTTTATTAAAATAAAATTAACTATATCAAAAAAATTATATTTACCAAAGAATTAATAGTAACTATCTCTTTTATAACAGTAACTAGTCTTTTATTCTCAATCAAAATTCTTGATTTGAGCTTCTAAGAATGAATTCTTTTTTTTTTTTGTTGAAAAATGAAAATACTATTTTCATAATGAGCGAATATGAATTTAACTGAGTTACAATATAGATAAGGACAAATGTAACCTTTCGATTACGGATTCATCTGAACTCGATCATAACATTTGACATGGATATATATGTAAAAATCTACAAAAATTATCAAAAAATATCATATTTGAACTCATAATTTAATAGTAAAATAAATATAGTGCTAAAAATCTTAAAAGTTGAATTTAGTAAATATAAATTTTTAAGTCGATTCTAAATATAAATATGGAGCACATAATGAATAAAAAAAACTAGCATTTCGATTTTCCTTAAGTTTATCTTCCATATTATTTTGGAGTCAATTCTCTAAATGGTCACTCAAGTTTATGGAATTGCCTTGGAATATCATTTATGTTTCATTTAGGACCAAAATATCACTCAACTATCACTATTTTTCTCCAAATATACTTACCACTTCAAAAGCCCCACTTTCTCCTAGTTGGCATGCCATGTCATTGAAAGACTTTTTTTAAATAATAGACTTATTTAATTCATCAAACTCAATTAACTAAAATAATGATCTTACTATTTTTTAATTATATATATATATTAGTTTATTGAGAAGAAAAATTTCATACTTAAAAATCTTTTATCATAATTAACTTTTTATTTTTTTATTGCTATGAAGAATAGTTGTTTTTAAAAAAAACTTAACTATAATGTCATCAATTTTGAATACTTATAAACACAAATATTCAAAAAAATAATTGATATATAAATCACTGATCAAAATTAAATAATAAATTTCTCCTTTTTACCAACTATTTTGTCAACCTTACAAATTTATTTGAATACTTTTATGAAAAAAAATACTTAAAATATTCAAATAATTTAATTAGAGATTTCAAAAATTCTCAGGTAACAATTGCACACAAAAAAAATTCATTGAATTTTGTTTGGTAGAAAAATATGAAGGGATTAGATATTTTAAAAATATTTTTTTATAATCTTCATAAATTCTCACGTAATTTATATATTTGTTTTGTAGAGGCATAAATTTAATGAATTAAATAGGTGTATTATTCTTTTTTTTTAAATGATGATTTAATGACATGACATATCAACTAGAATAGAAGGAGACTTTTGAGGTATTAGTATATATTTTTTTGGGGGAAATAAATTAGTAATAATATTAGTCACTTTCTATTTATTTTTTTAAAAAATATATTGTAAGCATGAATTTCAAAGTACACAATTAATTCTATTGTAATAGTTAATAGACATTTAATATTATTGATTCATTATACAATTTATGATTAATTGATGTAAGTTAACATTCATGAGTGATTTGTATACCAATATTTTTTTTTTTGAATATATGTGTTTATAAGTATTCAAAATTGATGACAATATAGTATATTTTAAAATCCTATTTTTTCATAGCATAAAAAAAACGTTTAATTATGATAAAAGATTCTTTAGTATGAAATTTTCTTCTTAATAAACAAATATATATATATATTTTAAAAATAATAAGATTATTATTTTAGTTAAATGAGTTTGATGAATTGAATAAGTCTATTATTTTTTTAAAAAAACTTTAATAACATGGCATGCCTACTAGGAGAGAGTAAAGTTTTTAAAGTTTTAAGTATATTTGGAAGAAAATAGTGATAGTTGGGTGATATTTTTGGTCCTAAGTGAAACATAAATGATATTTCAAGGCAATTCTCTAAACTTGGGTGACCATTTAGGGAATTGACTCTATTATTTTGTGGATAAAGTGGAGTAGTTGGTTGAGGAAAAGGCAAGGGT